GTCTTTACATTGGATTATGTTTCAGTGACTTGGTGTGCCAAATGAATGGGAGATCTGTTATACTAAAATAGGTAAATATTTTAAATAATAAATATCTTTTATTACAACAGACACTCACACCCCCCCCCTCCCCTCTCTATTGACACAGCCCATAAAGCCCAAAACCTCTGAACCCTAGTTTGAAGTCCCTTCTATGGATCAACACACGTATAATACTTTGGTCACAGTTCTTTTTTAAAACACAAACATGGGGAGTGGACTTTGAGACTGAGGCTGCTGCCCTAAAAAGTCAACCCTTTTTCAGAGTCATTCAGATTGATTCAACAAAAATAATCTTGTAAACTAGTCCTACTTAGCATTTTTTTTGCATACCACAGAACATGATTGGATGAAATTTGCTTAATTTTACAATGGAGAGCGCCTGACTTGAATAACCTGCATTTGTTATGTTATGTACATAATCCTGGGTTGCAGGACTTCAAGATTATTCCTGCATTACTACGTCATTATCATGTTCATCTTGATAATATGTTTCAAAAACATGGGCCCATATGACAATCTCTTGAGATTATTTTTGTATATGCATTTCCAGCACATATTAAATGAGTTATATGAATATTTTAATATATCAAATGACTATGTTAAATATCAAGAATCACTTTTGCGACCCTTCCAACAGCTTCCTCTACATCACACTGCTGTGCCGCTTTGGTTGACAGAATTAGCAAAAAGCTGTTGAACGGCATCTTTAGCTTGAAAGAGCCCAAAGACATCAGTAATAAATTTGCTTTGTATATTTTGGATAAACAATGCAAATAAGAAACAACAAGTTCATCATAATGTCTAAAACCCTGATTTAACATGATTTTTTTCGAAGCTTGTAGCTGTTTCCCCCAAGTAGCAAGAAACAAGTAGGCTAATACCTGTTAGTATTTTGCAAAGATGATCCAGCCAAAAACAAAAACATTTAACAGGACACAAGCTTATAACAGATATACTGTTTAGACCTGGATAATATGCATTGGTTAGTATATCAACAGAACATTGACGAGGAAGTAATCTTGTAATTGGTTTAATTAAGTTGTGTGGCCAATAAGGGGCCAGGTGGTTGGGTAGATAGTATCAGCGTTGTCTCTACCTGGAGCTTGCATGTATAGAGCCTAGGTCTGTTGACAGTGGAGATGCTGTTTGGGCTCTGATGGTCATGTGGTCGAGAAGTTAAGACATAGAAGTCCTGTGTGTAGGTATGGTGGGCGGTGGGAGCTAGCATGGAGGGGGGTGACTCTCGGACATTGGAGCTCATTGTCCAGCCTCCCCTAGCTGTCGTGCATGGGACTAATTGGACAAAACACAAGTGTGGTTCCAACTTGATAACCCCGTTGATGTCCTGGCTCTTGCTGCCCATCAGTCTACACAGTTTAATTAGGTGGCCAAAAGGGGCCATGTGGATAGGTAATATCGGTTTGGTGGTGGTGGCACCTCAGAGCCAATAGGTAGGTTTTATAATTTACCAGTAGGTCTAAGAGTTATTATTTGGATGAGGGGTTTATTTACTGAACACGTATTCATTCTTAAGGGCACAAGTGTCTTGTGTTTATTTAATAAAATAGCACTCAAAATGAGTCTGGCATTCCAGCAAACTTTTCTGGTTTAACACATAATTGATTGGTTGAGACATTAATTTATATTGCAATTTGTCATTGGTTGCAATCCTTATTATAAACAAGCAGGATGCAAAATATATTAAAGTGGTTGAGATTACTTAGAAACAGTGTTGCCATGAATTGATTGGTCCAAAGGAACTCATCAAAACTCCAGACGCAGTCTGGCTATAATGCAGGCATGTGTTTGACTAAGAACGTTGGACAAAATAAATTGGGTTTAAATACATTTCCTTTAATTGCTCCCTTGTTTGTCTTCCCATTTGTTGGTTTCCTACTGCAAGAAAACAACTGGGGTGAAAAGTAAATTAGAGGTCTGTAAATACACAAGATTAATTATTTTTGCTATAAAGGGCATTGTGGCTAGATGATGCAGATGTCTAATGCTGCCTTCAGGGCACTTAGCATGCTGGTGGATATCCTCACTGCACAGCCTATTAGCAGTCTGCCAGGACATTTTGCAAATACTGTTCCTGACAGCATGACAGAGTGATTGATGGCAGCCTGCTTGGGTACAACTAGCCAGTCCTGATGCTGTGATAGCACTGTGTGTAAAATAACTGATATGAGGAGTGCTCTGTTTTTTGTTTTTTTTAATGCCTATAGAGGACAAACATCTGATTGATTCTGCTGTCCTTTTTTCAACAGTCTATCAAGAGAAATAATACAAGCTAACACTGAGCTTACTACTAATAGCCCTTTGTATAATGTTCTTGGACTAATGTTGTTGAGTTTGCAATGGAGTGAGTTTCAGAGGCTATAAATATAATCCTAATGACAGCATTTGGGATGTACTGTAAAGAGCTTTGGGGGCCACACTGGTTTTCTCTTCTAATGAGCCAACCGAGAGGCACAGCACAACAAGAGATTGAAGAGAAATTCTAGGGGGATGTAATGAAGTTAGCACACACAGTTGGCATGATCTCGTCATGTTCCATCTTTAAAACCCATTAATGAATCCCTTTCACCGTCTTTCTTTTGTCTACCTTGTTGGTAACAGGTAACAGTTGTCTCTCTCTATTCCTTAATAGAGTCTTAAATGGCATTATTATATTAGGACAGTACAAGCAAAACCAGCCATTTTAAACACACTCCTGTAAAAGGCCTCTCACACGGTATGAGGAAAAGAAAACAGCAGGTATAAACAACTTTCATTCAGCTCTTTAGTTTTTGGGGCTTTGAAATGCTATCAAATGCATTTGAAAGAGAACTTCAATCAAAGAATCTCTGAAGGTACCAAGGTCTTTAAAAGGTACCCTACCAGAAAAAATCCTTCTCTAACACATACCAACAAATGAATCTGGTAGAGGTTTCAGCCTGTTTCCAATACAAATTCTACTTGTTCTCAAGTGTACTGCATTAATAATCTTCTCTGATAAGTGCAGCCATCTCTTTCAATGTATTCCGTCTGAATGTGAGGATACATTAAATATTTCTGAAGCAAGGATAATTGCAATGAGAACAAGTTTAAAGAACTCATCCAAATGCAGGGGTTCTGCAAAAAAATAAAAAAATAAAGCTGTTAGCTGAATTTTGAATTACTATTTAAGACAGATGTGAACTGCAGCATGTTAAGAAATGAACCAATATCATGAAATGGTCCAGCCACAAAATAAGCATCCTTATGAGTTCTTGATGTAAGTGTCATAGAAGTCTATCTGGTTTTGATCCTTGTATGCGGTTATAATGGCCAACAAGAGCCTGTGTGACTGATTGTTTGAAGGTGAGAAATGAATCATCAGTTCTCAAAAAAAAAAAAAAAAGAAAGCTTTATAATGAATGTGTTTTTTAATAAGATTTATTTTTTGGCTTTTTGTGCCTTAATTCAAGAGATAGGACAGAGTTGGAAATCAGAGAGAGAGAGAGAGAGAGTAGGGTATGACATGCGTATATATCACATAATCACATAATTAACGTGTTTGCACAAAAACTGTTGTTTTTAGAAAAACATAAGGAGTTTAGAAATATTTTCAAAAGTGTCAGTAAACCTCTACTGGCCAGAAACCATAAATCAGTGCCTAATTGCTGCCTCCACAAACTGCCTTATGAAAATGTATGAAGTGCTGGCAATTATCAACAAGAAATATTCAAACTATTTTTATCTCTTCGCAGCATGCTGAATGTTTTTCTTTCATTTTGAATAACAATACACATAGTCATTATCATAATACAATTAGCGCCATGAAGGCTCTTGCCAATAAAACCAAGTTTGGACTGCTTAAATCCAAACTCTATTAACTTCTCAGTCAGCGAGATCTGAAAGCCAATTCAAAGATTATTGACTATTAAAAAGGTAAAGCTAGTGGTTATATATACTTGGGCCTGGCTTTTTTAACAGATAAAAGTAGTTCAGCTGGAGGGAGAGGTTGGGCTTCAGCAATGAGGATTTGCATTAGTGTGCTTTGCCTCAGTTCCAAAAAGGCAGTAATCTTAACTTCAAAACTTACAATTCACTGGTTTATTTGATTCATATCACAATAGATGTTGACAGGTTTTGGAACAAGGCTGCCTTCAGAGCATTTGTTAGACTGACTGTAGGCCGACAAGTTCCGTTCAATAAGATGCACAAAGAGCAAGGTCACTGCACAGCTGGATGCCGGGTCCAATTAATCAAGAACCAATCACCTCTTTGATCACAGCCGAAGCCACAGGAGCTAATGACAAGCAGTCACAGCCAAGTTGACTTCCATAGCACTACAAATAGGACAGTTCTAAATAGTACTTGGGTTTATACAGTAAAGGGTAAAAGTAAATCAAGTTGTCCTAATTAAAAAAAGCATTTCAAACTGAAATCATCATGAAGCCTATTTGGGGTCATTGTGTCGAGAGTAAGAACCCCAAGCTTTTTTCCTTTCATATATGCTTCCTTCACTGAGTCTTCCCAGGGAACAGTCTGTTCTATAAAATAAAGTGTCCACAGACTCACAGACCACAACACTAGATCAGGCCTCAGCTTTGTACAAACTTTGTACCTACCTCCTTGACATTTGTTTTTGCTGCCATGAATACCAGCCTTGCGACAGACTAAACTCAAAGCCTGTGTCCACAAAATAATTGTATGCTTGTATGGTCGGCATACATTTCCAATTGCCTATTCATCTCTGGTTCCAAAAAGGGTTGAAGTTCATTGTTAAATTCATTTGGTTGAATTGCAACGTGAACACAACAACTGACTGTTTAAAACTGACAATCCTTCTGCAGGATAAGGAAACTTTTTGTCAGACCTGCAGACTCTCAGTTTCATGTTGTAATCTTACCTTAATCTTTATTAATACAGACTTTACATAACCACAATGACTGTTTTAACATATATAGAAGCTGCATACAAGCTTGACCTACCATGGCTAATGGCACGATGCCACCCAGGTCCTGCGGTGCCAGGCGGATGAGTATCGGCACCTCACTGGTCACGGACCGGGTCAGCGGATACTCCACCTGCCACGTCACTTCCCGTCCCCCCTGATTCATCATCAGCCCATTCACCTCCAGGTCCACCTGCAGCACTCGCTGGTATCCTGCTGCCTCCGCTCTGCAAAGAGAGAGAGAGAGAGGGAGACGTGTGTCAAGAGAGGATTTAGATAAAAGAGGTGGGAAAATAAAGAGATAGAAAAGTAAGATAGGAGGCAATGGAAAAGCAGAAAAAATGACAAGGTGGGAATTAAGTTGGAGTCAAAGGGATGAAAAGTAGAGAGAAAATAAACAAGTTCAAATAAGGTAAAATGAACTAAAGTGCAAAAAGTCAGAAATGAAGACAGCCTGGTATATATATATATATATATATATACATAAAAAGTCAAAAGTAAATGAATCATCATATATATATATATATAAAGATGAGTGTTTGATTTTTGTGGATGAAAGTACTGAAGAGCAGCAGTTGAGAATGAAGTGTATATTTCAGTCAGCCATGAAAACAAATAATTTATCAGTAGTGGATGGTTAAGCTGTTGCTGTAACACCACTATTTGCAGTATCTACTAATGAATTAGTTACTTTCCAGATTCATTAACAGCGTTACAATTACTTACATTTAAAAGCATTCTTTACTCGTTACTTTTTGGGAAACAGCCGTCAACAAGCGGATAAGGTTACGCTAACGCTAGCACAGTTAGCATCCTACGGGAAAGAACTTTGCGCGTAGTAAACAAACACAGGCAGGTGCTCGTTCAGCTTTCTGTCTCGGAAATACAGACAATATTTTCCTCTGCTCGAGTTAAACCACAAGATACTGCAGGGAGTTGTCGTCTGTGTGCTGGAAGGAAAGATTCTCTCAAAAGAATGAAGCATCAAGCTAAACAACAACAACAGCACGCTTCGACTAAACTAGCTGTTAGAGAGATAAGTTACTCATTTTCAGTAACATGCCCAACACTTACTGTATCGCATTCATGTGTTTAAACACCGCATCCCTTGTCTCACAATATGATTTCAACTAATCTGAGCTAATTCAGTCTCACATCGACACTTGAACCACCATGTTGGCTTAAAGGAAGCAATTTGATTCCCCTCCTGCAATATGGAGTTTCTCTTCCAGAGATCGTTGGGCCCTGTCAAGTGATTTTCTCTCAGCTGATGGGGATGCAAACAAAGCCGAAAAAAAACCCCCAATGAATGCAAGATTCTCCAAACATATTCGATTTGCTGGAGTGCTGTGGTGGGATTAAGCTGCTGCTGCCTCTCCCTCAGGTATTTTTGTAACAGTAAGATCTGGATGCAACACCTTTTCTTTCCACCACACACAGGCACCTTTTCTCTCAGAAATACAATTCAACCTCAGAGATCTAAAATGTGCTCACATATTGTGCGACATATTTAAGTGAAGTAAACACAAAAGTTTAAGGCAACTGAAAGAGGAAATAAATGACTGTGTTAGGCTTTAGTTTAAAGTTCTCTCGAGGCATATTTACTCTTTATACTGTATATCTATATTTCTTAGTGCAGTATGTTGGATTTCTAGTTGTCACATTTTCAACAAGTCTGGAGAGAGCCCAAACTGAGCATAAGGAGGGGGTGTTTAGCGGGAAGAGCCAAGATTTCCCTTGAACATCTATTGGCTAAGTTTGTATCTAAAACTCCCCCTCTTTATGAGTTCTCACTTCAGAGGCCAGCCTCACTTCAAAGCTGAGATGTAAAGATCCTCTCTGGTAGAAAAGTTGAAGGGATAAAAGCTTAGAGGATGAAAATCGTTGTGGATAAAAATAGCTTGAATGGAAAGTCTGGCTCAGGCTGAAAAAAGCTTTTTAGTTTCAGTGGGTAATGTTCTGAATTATACTTAATGTGTTTCCAAATACCACAGAGAAGCGCTGACTCTGGGTGATAGAGGTGGATGTCGGGTGTGAATGTGGCCGCACAGTGAGCTCTGTTGAGTTAAAACTCTGTCTGACAACAGAGGAGTGAAACAGTTGTACTGAGTTAGTCGGCTCTGATGTTTGTGCTGTGGGATAAGGCTGGTGGAAGTTCATATTTTCTTTTTCAAATTAACATTTATCCGAATAACATGTATGTTCCACAGAGCTCAACTGTATTAAAATCTATTAAAACAATGACATGGGGGCTTAGTACAACCAAACTCATGCCTACAAAGTCTGCCCGGAACCTATGGTGTCATGATTGATGATAAGCTAACACTTAAAGTTCAAGTGGCTTAGAATGCCCGGTCATGTCTATTTGCCCTGTACAACATCAGATAGATCATACCTTACCTGTCAGAGTCTACACCTCTCAGGTTCAGGCTCTTGTGATATCACACATTGACTATTGTAACTCCCTACATGCACTATCAAACCATTGCAGATGATCCAAAATGCAGCAGCGCAACTGGTCTTCAACCTACCCAAAAGAGCACATGAATCCCTCCACCATTTATAACCCTGATGCTTGCTTACAAAACAGCAAAAAACGTACCTAAACTCTCTCATCCAGTTCTACACACCGTCCAACGACGACGCTCTGCCAATGCAGGGCATCTACTCAAACCTTCACAACATTGCCCTGAGTCTCTAACTAGACTCCTCTGTCGCCCTGGAATGAAATACCAAACTCCATTCGATCTGCAGAGTGCCTTGCATCTTTAAGAAAAAGCTTTTTCATGAATACCTATTCACTTTCATATACGCACCTAATGATATTCATGATGATTTAGATGATGATGTTTTTTTGTTTGATTATGACAATGAAGATTTAGGATGGTTTAGATGCTGATCAGAACTCTCAAGAACAGCTGTCGATGTTGTGCTTTGCCTCTGTGCACTGCCTGTCAGCACTTGTGTCTGATCAAACTAAAAGCTGTTGTTTTGCACTTAGTGAAGTTGTTTTCTCCTTTCTAGATCCTTGCTTGTGTTGTACTTGCTCTCTAATGTATGTCGCTTTGGATAAAAGCGTCCACTAATTGAATTGTAGAATTGTAGAATCTTTAAGTTATAGGTCAGAAACAGTGCTATTTTGACCCTGTTGAGAGTGTGCAAACAAGGGAGTCCAAAAACTGCTTTGGTATTTACTAAAGTAAAAAAAACAGAATTTGTAAAATATGCTGTGTCGACCATAAACCAAGAAAAACAAATGCAGCTTTAAGGTTAGAAACAACATGTTTGCGCTTTTTAATTATCATTTCAAGTAGGGGCTGAAAAATATCTGGGCTCATTTCCTCTTCATCAAAGTTAAACATTAAAAGCCAAGCAGAAAAAAACAACAGAGAGCTCACATTCAACTCTTAAAGTAAACTGAAGTTTTAAACTCAACCTGAGGTAACTGATTAGTTAAAAATGTCTTATTTTAGGTCCATCCATTGGTTTACTTTTCGTTTGCTTACTCTTTTTGTAGTTAGCTACATTGTGATTTCCCCTCCTCCCTGACTACATGCTGTGCTCAGGGGTAGGGACTGCAGTGATTATGTGTTTTAAGCTTATTGTGAACAATTGCAGACAAATCAATGACCTGCAGCAGAGAGTTCAGTTGTGTTTTACACCAAAGCCAAAGCTGCAAACAATCAGAGCTTTACCGCTGAACACTACAATACAACTCTACTTCTCTCCTTTTTTCAATCTGTCTTTTTCCTCTCTTGTCTCTATTTGTGTCCTTCTTCTTCCCCTCTCTTTAGCTTCATCCTCTGACTCACCTGCAGTGTTTTGTTGCACCAAAGGAGTTCAGTCTCTCTCTCTCTCTCTCTCTAACCCCTCATCCCGTCACCCAGTGTGGTGTTTGAGATGATGAATGTCTGCAGCCCATCCGTCGGAGAGGTCAGCCAACTTCCTGCTTGTCTTAGAATCATGTGCCCGTTTCTCACTGTGATTTACATACAATTAAACACACTCACATGAGACTGTTTCTGTGTCTGACTCTTGCTCTACAGGAGAATAAAGTACGGAAACAAGGTGAAAAAGGCCAAATTAAAGGGAAACTGGTCTTCTGAGATTACAGAAATGAATATAAAAGCCGTAAGAAACAAAATCCATGAACATAGTTTGGGGTGAAATGAGGTGAAAAATCGGTCATGTCATTCTGACACGGCTTTTGAGGTTTCTCAATATGTCAGTCCTATTGTTGTGTGTGAAAGCACAAACAGAAAAAGGTGGGCAAAAAACACAGGCGACTTTGTGTTCTGTAAGATACATTTCAAACACAAACCATGTCGTAACTAAGAGGCTCTAAACAGAAATAAGTGGCATAACAACAACAAATAAAATTCCTTTTGGTGAAAAACAGGGACATAAAAGTGTTGCTGAGGAACACAAAAGCTGTGTTAAACATGCAGCCATGTTTTCTTCTTTTCACTCTGAACATCTCGGTGGATATCTGGCTCTGTGAAAGGTAGAGAAAGAAAAGTCTGCTGTCTCTTTCTGGGGACCCTGAGGGGCTTCCTTTCATGCACAGCAGTGATTTGGTTAGCTCTGACAACAATGATGCATCAAAGAGCTGAATCTTTATATACACAGAGAAGTGAGTCCAACAATAGAAAGCGAGGGAGGGAGGCAGTTTGTGAGCCTGCGTACAGTTTGTGTTTCCATGCACTACTAATATGAATACCACAAACAACTTCATTCAGGTATATATGAAACATTTTTTTTATATTATGGGGCAAGAATACAAAAGGATTGAACTTCATAGCCACGAAGTGGAAAGTATTTTGTACTTAATTGTGAAGATATGATTAAAAAAATAGAAGAGAAAATGCTGCATGAGAACTTTTTATGTGGTCAGATTTCTGGTGTACAACACGGGTGACACAAAGGGTTAATATACAATGATGTTAAATTTAGAAATAGAGCTATCACTCACATTTTAAAAGGCAATATCTGTGGACATAAAGACCTATCTGAAACAGGCCAATTTAGAGAGATGGTGAAATTGTATGGACAACAGTATGCAGTTGCTTTAGCCATAATTGGATCTTGACATGAGAGAGCAGTAGAAATTCAACACAGCAGCTGTGACAGCAGGTGGGATGAAAAACTCCTGCTGGCCATCTGGCTTCACATAAAGATAAAAATCAATTTCCTGTCTCCAGAGTGAGCTACAACTTCTTTTTCAACT